CACTGCTCACGCTTTCCTACAAGTCACCGAAGAGGACATTCAGAAATTCAATAACAGGATCCGTCAGATTCTCATGTCGTCTGGCTCGACTACATTCACCAAGATTGCTAACAAGTGGAACACGGCGCTGATTGCCCTCTTTACGTACTACCGCGAGGCTGCTGTTTCGACCGTGAACCTGCTTGACACGATTGTCAAGTGTGAAACCAAAATCCAGACTCGTGTCAAAATTGGTCTCAACTCCAAGATGCCTTCCCGTTTCCCTCCTGCCGTTTTCTACACTCCCAAGGAGCTTGGTGGGTTGGGTATGATTTCCGGATCACACATTCTTATCCCTACTAGCGACAAGCGCTGGTCTAAACAGACAGATCTCGGAGTTACTCATTACCGTGCGGGCATGTCGCACGATGAGGAAACGCTGATCCCCAACATCTTCCGCTACATCATCCCGTGGGAAGCTGAGTTTATCGACTCCCAGCGTGTGTGGACGGAATACTCGCAGAAGCGTCTTGAGGCCAACCAGCAGAACCGCAGATTGACCCTAGAGGATCTGGAGGACAGCTGGGATCGCGGCCTGCCCCGTATCAACACTCTTTTCCAAAAGGACCGTAGCACGTTAAGCTTCGACAAGGGTTTCCGTGCCCGTTCCGAGTTCAAGATCTATCAGTTGATGAAGAGCAATCCCTTCTGGTGGACAAGCCAAAGGCATGACGGTAAACTTTGGAACCTTAACGCATATCGTACCGATGTCATCCAGGCGCTTGGTGGTGTCGAAACCATCTTGGAGCATACCTTGTTCAAGGCAACTGGTTTCCCGTCTTGGGAAGGTCTCTTCTGGGAGAAGGCCAGTGGTTTCGAGGAGTCGATGAAGTTCAAGAAGTTGACAAATGCCCAGAGGAGCGGTAAGTTCAACACACCATTTCTCTACCATGAATTGATGATCATATGCACGCACATATACTGACTCTTGAAATGCGCAGGTCTCAACCAGATTCCTAATCGTCGTTTCACGCTTTGGTGGTCGCCTACCATCAACAGAGCCAATGTCTACGTCGGTTTCCAAGTGCAGTTGGATCTTACTGGTATCTTCTTGCACGGCAAGATTCCTACTCTCAAGATCTCCCTGATCCAGATCTTCCGAGCCCATTTGTGGCAGAAGATCCACGAGTCAGTGGTCATGGATCTTTGCCAGGTCTTCGATCAGGAGCTTGAGGCTCTAAGCATCGAATCGGTCCAAAAGGAAACCATTCATCCCAGAAAATCTTACAAGATGAACAGCTCCTGCGCGGATATCCAGCTCTTTGCCAGCCACAAATGGAACGTTACTCGCCCATCGCTCCTTTTCGATACCAAGGATGTCATCGAGTCCACTACGACAAACAAGTTCTGGATTGATGTTCAGCTTCGCTATGGTGACTACGACTCTCACGATATTGAGAGATACGTGAGGGCCAAGTATCTGGACTACACCACCGACAGCATGAGTCTTTACCCATCTCCTACCGGTCTCATGATCGGCATCGATCTGGCTTACAACTTGTACTCTGCCTACGGTCAATACTTCCCAGGCTTGAAGCTCTTGATCCAGCAGGCTATGGGCAAGATCATGAAGGCAAACCCTGCGCTCTACGTTCTTCGTGAGCGTATCCGCAAGGGTCTGCAGCTCTACGCCTCCGAGAGCAACCAGGAGTTCCTGAACTCGCAGAACTACTCGGAGCTGTTCAGCAACCAGACTCAGCTCTTTATCGATGATACTAACGTCTACCGTGTTACCATCCACAAGACCTTCGAAGGTAACTTGACGACCAAGCCGATCAACGGTGCCATCTTCATCTTCAACCCCCGTACCGGTCAGTTGTTCTTGAAGATTATTCACACCAGCGTTTGGGCGGGTCAAAAGCGTTTGGGACAGTTGGCCAAGTGGAAGACTGCCGAAGAAGTCGCAGCCCTTATCAGATCGCTACCCGTCGAAGAGCAGCCAAAGCAACTTATCGTCACCAGAAAGGGTCTGTTGGATCCTTTGGAAGTCAATTTGCTTGATTTCCCCAACATCTCCATCCGCGCGTCCGAGTTGCAGCTTCCCTTCCAGGCCGCCATGAAGGTCGAAAAGCTGGGTGACATGATCTTGCGTGCCACCGAGCCGCAGATGGTTTTGTTCAATCTCTACGACGAGTGGCTGAAGAGCATCTCTTCCTACACTGCCTTCTCCCGTCTCATTCTCATCCTGCGTGCCCTGCACGTTAACCAGGATAAGACGAAGCTCATCTTGCGCCCCGACAAGACCGTCATCACGCAGGATCATCACATCTGGCCCTCGCTGTCCGATGAGGACTGGATCAAGGTTGAAACGCAGCTCCGCGACCTTATCCTCAACGACTACGGCAAGAAGAACAATGTCAACGTGTCCAGTTTGACTAGCAGTGAAGTCCGTGATATCATTCTTGGTATGGAGATCTCAGCCCCCTCGCTGCAGAGGCAGCAGGCCGCGGAGATTGAGAAGCAGCAGCAAGAGCAGCAGCAGCTCACCGCCGTCACTACCAAGACGCAGAACGTGCACGGCGAGGAGATCATTGTGACGACCACTTCGCAGTTCGAACAGCAGACGTTCGCCTCCAAGACCGAGTGGCGCACCAGAGCCATCGCCACCTCGAACTTACGCACCAGGGCTAACAACATGTACGTGTCGCCCGTGGATAGTGACCTGGACGACGTGACCTATGTCATGCCCAAGAACATCCTCAAGCGCTTCATCGCCATTGCCGATCTCCGTGTCCAAGTTGCCGGTTACCTCTACGGTGCCTCGCCCGCCGACAACGACCAGGTCAAGGAGATCAAGTGCATCGTCATGGTGCCTCAGATCGGTGGTCTGCGCAACGTTCAGCTGCCTCACCAGCTTCCCCAGCACGAGTACCTTAAGGACATGGAGCCACTCGGCATCATTCACACACAGTCGGGCAACGAGCTACCGTATATGTCCGCCATGGACGTTACGGAGCACGCACGCCTGCTTGATGCCCACCCGAATTGGGACAAGCAAAACACACTCACCGTCGCCGTCTCCTTTACGCCCGGCAGTGTGTCGTTGTCGGCCTGGGCGCTCACGCCTCAGGGCTTTAAGTGGGGCGTGGAGAACAAGGACATAGCTAGCGACCAGCCGCAGGGGTTCACAACCAGCATGGGCGAAAAGCGCCAGCTCCTCCTCAGCGAGAAGTTCCGGGGCTTTTTCCTGGTGCCGGATGGCGGCAAGTGGAACTACAGCTTCATGGGCAGCGCGTTTGGAGGCCTGGAGAAAAAGCCGGTGCATGTCAAGCTGGATACGCCGCTGCCCTTTTACAGCGACCAGCACAGACCTATTCACTTCTCGAGCTTCAACGAGTTAGAGGATATCTGGGTTGATAGGCAGGATAACTTTGCCTAAAAGAGGCAGTACGGTGTGTGTATATGTGTGTGTGTGAGAGAAGGCGAACAGAAGAATGTGTTGGTTAAAGTTTATGACTAAAGAGCCGAGTGTATAACGAGAGTGTACCATTTATTATCATCCATGTTTTCGCACGGCGTTCTGCATTTGAGGCTAGGCCGTCTCACAAATATGTATTTAACACAAAAGCGTGTTTTACAGTCTACGACATGGATAAAGGCAGGATGTCGTCTGGTTTGGACTCGGCAATAGTGGTTAGTTTTTGCAACAATGAGCATGTATTTTTTTTTTTGGAACGCACCGTTTGTTAACATGTGGAATCCGTGGATATGCAGAGGTAGCAGTGTGACAACAGCTTCGACACGTGTGTGGGAGGTTACCCAAAACTTTTGGGACCCCCCATGTATCTGGACACGACGGGAACCCCAGGGAACGGTCAATGCAAGATAGCACCCCGTTCAGGTTTTCCCGAGCATCGGGAAGCGGAATAACCGTGCTGGAGATTCTTTCTGGGTACGTCATGTTGTTCCCCCACCAGACATGCTGGAGGCTAAACCATGTTACGCTATTCAAAGTGATGACGGTGTTGGCGAGAGATTACGCTTCATGCATCTATGCTTTAGGCGATGTGGCTTGGGTTTATTGTAAAGCTAAGCGCGGACATATCTCCGAGGCTGGCGCGATGGTGTATTTGGATGGAGGGGTACCTCTAGGTAGGATGAAGATTCGGGTCAAGCAAGGGACGTCACCTGGTAACAAGGCAGATTAGCTATGAATAGTAAAGACAACATACCCTGTCTGCTTTCCGGATGTGGGATGTGGGAAGGGGATGGCATGTGATGGTATTGCCGGGAAGGAAGGTCATACTGGGAAGCGGATAAGCCGGGGGAGCTGGTCAAAAACCCTGAGGTACCTCTGCTTCGGGGTGAGATGGGATGGGATGGATCACGGATGGGGGTATTGGCCTTGGGCACACCTGGCCCAACTCGGAAAGTCCACATTCCCAAATCACGGGGGCCGATCAGAATGGGCCGACGCAGAGTCCCGACTTCCATGCATCGGTTTTTGCATTGAAAGAACGACAGACTAGCAACGGCTGCCAAGACTAGGCCTGACTATGTCTAGAAACGTCGTCCGTGATCCGAAATTGTCACGGCACATTCCAGCCTCATTCCAGCGGTCCCACCGGAGGCTGCGGAACTCCTTTGCTGTCTTGTCATCGGTCCTCAAGATTAAGCTTGCGATCGGTCCGGATGCCGGAGAAGAAACGGGTAACTTCCGCGCGGGAGGACCGGATAGTCCCGGAAATCTCTCCGTGGCACATTTAGCCGTTGCTCGCTTCCCCACGATGTGGAAATACGTTATAACGGATGACAACCTAATCTAACCTTGGCCCACTTGGGTAGAGGTACCTCTAAGCCGCGGTTCTTGGCTCGACTGAGCAAAAGAAGTGGAGGCTGCGAAAAGGATTGTGAACTAGTTTTGAAGACCCGGACATGGCCATTGCACAATGTCGGTCGTTCTCTGCACTACCTACGGTACCTACCTACCTACCTACCTACCTACCTACAACCTCATAGGCCTACACGCATTCATTAGCAAGTTCATGTTGATGCAGGTACGAGATGTCAATGCAGAATGACATGATGTCTGCAACCCACCCCAAGCTACCCTTCCTTCCATTGGGCCTCCAGCTTAGCAGCCTCAACTTATCAAGTTTTATCTGGTGACTTTCGCTTGTCATGTTTGGAAGCATGATGGAAGCGCGAAAGAAGGCGTGGTATTGTATCGGTCCCGGATTAGCAGCTGTATCAATGCCGTTGTGTCGATCGTTTGAAACACGGTGGTGGTGGTGGTGACGGTGGTGTCGTCGTCGTTGCTGTTGTCATTTTGATGTGATCAATATAGCAACAGACGGTCATGCCCTGGTGATGGGTTGAGAGTTCCGTTGGATGGTCAAGTTCCAGGTGAAGACGACGTCCGGTGACATTGTGCAGAGTCAGAGCGCTTTGGAGAGTTGGAGTCGCACTGGGAGGGGCATCATGACTGAAAATTCACCCTGTTGAGACAATGACGCAGTTTCAAGGGGAAGGAGCTGTTCGGCTGCGACTGCGGCTGCGACTTTCATCCACATCGTTTGTGTGGGAGGGGGGTTAGTACAGGTAGTTTGGTTGGTTTGCGCCTCTGGGGAGGAAAGAACTAGGTAGAGGTAGCTGAGGTTAAAAAAACAGCATCGACGACGATCTTGGGAGCCCCTCGACACTTTCCCTGGTATTTTTGACGACACTAGGTGTCCAGTCACAGGGCACAACTGGTCAGAATCGAACGATGTGAAAATTCTTCGGTTCATTGAGTCCCTCTTCAGTTCCACACCAAGTACCACAACTGAACACAGCTCACTGAACCGAAGCATTGCGTGTTTTGTTGTGTTGTGTTGTTTTGTTTATTTTTCCTTGTTCACAACTGCCCGAATATCTCCATAACCCCAGCTCAAGGTTTGTCACTAACAGCAACATAGTCTCTACCCACCCATTCGAAACCTCTGGGCGTCAAGCTTTGTTAGCGACAGTCGCCAAGCTGGGAATAGTTCAGGTTGTATCGAAATGCCCTAGACCCTTGTGGTTCTCACCGCCGTCACCATTCAAGTTCTACCCTTCACCTTGCTTCACCGCATCATCACTACCACTACCACCACCAATTGCACGCTACCATCATGAAGTTGCCCGCCTGTGACAACCACAGTCAAGTGCCCGGGCAACCGTCTTTGAACGCCGGAATATCAACGGCAGCGGCATCAGCCCATCGAGGGATCATCAATGTCCACGGCGATAGCTATCCTCTGACTGCCACTACACTCACTAGAACACACTAGTAGAGCTTACCCCGGTCTGCGCTAGAAGCAGCTTTGTCTCCTTCTAGAAAACTTCCGAAATCACGCCCATCCTGCCTTTGCGCGGAGCATAATGCAGCCTTTAATTGCAAGGTTTGAATGAAACACTTTTCCTTCATGCGCACATCTTGGCCACACTCCTTCGGTCTACATTCTACACCGTCCACTCCTTCACGGCATCTCCCCACGGCATCTCCCCCTCACTCCAACACCATCACAACTGTCGTGCCGAGTATCGCTCTTTTCCGGCCTGCATACTGCTGCCTTGCCCTGTTCATTGCAGCTCTTCTCACTTCGGCCTTACTATGCTTAACAGGAAGCTGACAATTGCAATGGGCTATTTTGCGGCAGCTTCCAGCCTCGATTCGTCAGTCACATTGACACCCAACAAGCGCAATTTTGGAGTTGCCGAACGTCAACCTCTTCACCTGACCATATGGAAGACAATCATCGTCATGGCATAATCCAAGTGGTAGCCACGAAATTTTACTGTACCCGAACGGCATCTCCTCGCAAGGCCTAGCCAGAGACATCACGTCAAGGTGCGCGTCTGGCGCGTCTGGAACCCATCCATATGACCGTCATGATCGCATGCGGTGACCAGGCTCAGCAAGGTCACCGAGTGGACAGAACCTAGACCCGGTCTGCCAAAATATCTTCGTCTCCCAAATACTCTCGCTTCAATACCTGCCTTTGGCGGGCTAGTGCCTCATTCCGGGATGAAGGTGTGCCTTCTCTCCCCCATGATGCGGCTACATTTCTGGCGGCAGCTTCGTCAAACCTTTCCCACTTTCACAGACGCCATATATCGACGGGCCGAACAGGCACAGACAGTACCTACCTTGGACTACTTGATACCCTGTCAAAACCATCCTGTTCAGTTTGAGGGCCCTGCCAGACCGCCTGCGGCAGCTCTCTGGTCTCTTTGGGATTGGGGTCACATCAGACATCTCAGATGATGTGGTTCAGATTTCACGCGGGCAGGGTCACTGCATGGTATCCTCACTCTATAGCCTCTCTTTCGCCCCTGCTCGGCAATCCAGCATTCCTACCTTCATCACGGGTGGATGCTACCCCTTCTCCAAGGCGGCTTAACCCCCGGGACCCTATCGTATGTCAGGGCATCGATCTGTTTCCGGGCACCTGTTATAGCTCCCCCCCGTCTTAATATCTTTCCCTTTTCAGAGACCATGGAATTTCCCACTCCTCAATGCCCTCTCCGCTTGCCACCTACGACACTCCACCACACCCAGAACTGGACATCCCCCCAGCAGCAGCCAAGGTATGCTGTCGCTATCATGTTCCTGCTTTAGTACTTCCGAGTGACTTCTTCTGGCTCTCCTGGAAAGGCCGGGTACCTTGCTTGACCGCACACTGTTCACTGCGGGGACTTACATCCACCTTCCTGGCTGTGTACGGAGATGGACTCGGCCACATTGCCACCCCTCCCGGCAAGCTCCCCTCCCGCTCGCCATCGTCTGCCTGTCTCCCTCTGCCTTGCAAGTGTAAGACTCTCGTTACTGGCATTCCTTGTGAGTCGGGTGCCGCTGCTGTCCATGGTTGTCTGTAGAGAAGAACACTGCTACGAGCATCTCCTAATTCGCTTCTTGCCATGCTGCGGCCCAGCCGCATGGCAGGGCTTGTTTCATCCTATACATTGTCGAGCTTGATGTTTTGACTCTGTCTTTGCGTTTTCGAAGCTTCGTTTTCTTTGGATCGTCAAGTTCACTGAATATCTGAATCGAGTTAGAGCGCCCGGAATTTCTTGGACCTCGATAATTAGTCCTGCGGCAACCCTGTCCAGCAATCTGAGCTACGAGCTGTCATGCCCGCTCGGTGCATCACTACCTGAAGCCGGGGTTCTGTTCTATATCCGGAAGACAGTCCATGGCATAAGATCCTCAAATTATGCCACCGTCATCGGTCGTCGAACCCGACTTGAACTCCACATTTCAAGCTACAAATACGGCTCGTACTTATCGTTGCTTGTATGCTTATTCCTTGGATTAGTAGGCGGGTCAAATCCATATATCCACTCCGTCCCCGTCCCTCCAAGGCGGCTATCACTTGCTTCTCTGCTCAGTATCAAACACCACAAGATATATCACGGTCGTTACCCGCTGCTTCTTTTCCTCTGCTCTGATTCTACTTTGGCTTTATCGTTAAGTCCACCAACGAAGAAGAAACCGTTCGTTTTGGAAGCTAGGCTGAACTGGGAGGGTCGACAAACTACACACCAAGTACCAGTATCCACAGAAAACGGTCATACCAGCCAGTTTCAGCACGCAATGAGCTTACGAAGGAGGAATCGTTAAGAGTGCCCTCATTGTCCAGCCAGCCTATCCGAGAATCAACCTACCGTCTCGTACCTCTGAAGATCATATACCCCCACATCACCATCGGTCGCCTTTCTACCGCCACCGACTCGTTTGCGAAGACTTCGCTTGAATACATGTGCTCTGGGTTCATACCGACACCTGTCTCTTTTCAACTGAGCTCAAGTACCCCTCAAAAAATCAACTCGCAGCATCTGAGGCCCACCTCAGATCAAATTATACGCCACTCTCGTTTCCAAAGTAGCCCTGCGGGGCTCAATCTTTCCAAATTCTCGCAATTCAGAGCCCGGCGACCAGCCAGAGCGGTCCGCTCTGGCGGACCTCATGCATAGCGGTCACGCTGGCGGGCAATTACCGAGTAGGTCCGGACTACCATGTCGACTATTCGTCACAGGAGCCGCATACGGCCGAGCAGAGCCAGGCTCCGCACTCCTATGAAGCGCACCACCACCGACCGTCTCTCCAACATGCCGGCCTGCCGAGCTTGCACGAGCCGCCCACTCACCAACCCCATCATGGCCTGTCCCAACATTATGCCCAAGCCCATCATCCTCTTCCGATCCTCACAGATTCGGGCCACATGGGCGGACATCCTGGCGCACGACACATGGGTCATTCCGGACCACCTCACTTTGGCGGACCGGGCCCTTCGCCACACACTGTAGTTGCGCCGCTTTACCCGCCTTTGACGCATAACCACGGACATGGCGGTGGGTTGAAACGACAACGGCCCGAAGATCTCGATCTCACAATGCCTGGAATCCCGAACCTTGAGCAAAATGACCTGGACTCCATGCAACATACATCGTTGGGAGCAGCCTACGCACAAGCAGCAGCGGCCCCGCCTCAGCATCATCATCACCGCCTACCAGACACCGGCCCCCCAAACAAGCTTTTAAGACGGGAAGGGGAAGGTAGCGGCGGTGGTGGAGCTCCCAGTGTAGTTGGACAAGCAGGAATGCCACCTCCAGCCCCGAGACCAAGAGGCCCCAAGCTCAAGTTTACGCCAGAGGACGACCAGCTGTTGATCGACCTGAAGGAAAACAAGAGCTTAACCTGGAAGCAGATTGCCGACTTTTTCCCTGGGCGATCTTCAGGAACTCTTCAGGTGCGATACTGTACAAAGTTGAAGGCGAAAACAACACAATGGACGGATGAAACGGTAAGTCTGATCAACCGTATCTCTTTCTACCGGATGAATGACTTAGCTGTCCACGTAACTTGCTTTCTGACTAATTCTTACATGCAGGACCAAAAGCTCAAGACGGCGCTGCAAGACTACGAAAACGAGAAGTGGAGGATTATTGCCAACAAAGTTGGGACAGGATTCACCCCAGTAGCATGTCGTGAGAGAGCGGCGGAGTTGATGGGAGAGGACTTATAGCAATCAATGTCCCCACCAGGAGTTTCGGCTTCTGTGTCTGGGGACACCGTCTATTCCTCACAACTCCAGTGAGCAGCACACCGCAGTGCACAAGATCTACCACGTCAATACCCCATGCGCAACGTCAAAAACTCGGCCAATATCCGATGACAATCGATTTGACGGGGCAAAGATTGAGTCAAACGCGGCCGAGTCGAATCAAACAAATACACCAACCGCGCGAAGCTTTCCGTTCGTGGAGAGCGAACGACCAAGTTAGTAGCCAATTTCGTGGCTACCAAAATTCAGAGACACTCAGGGATAGGAAGGTGCACAGGAGTTCTCTGTCGTCCTTACCCCCTATCCCTATTTATTTGCCCTTATTACTCCATTTCTTCTTTCTCTACCTTCTTTTAATATTTATTCTCTTGTTGGCTTGATTCATCAGTTGTATCATCATTTGGGGAGATATTATTCTTTGAGAAGGCGGCATTATACACCTAGATACCCCATACACAACAAGTATTATATCTAACATTAACGTTTAGTAACCTTTTTTCCTTATTTCCTATTGCGGTGTGCTGGGTCTTGCGCTGGTGTTTTTTTTTTTTTTTTTTTTTTTTTTTTTTTTTTTAGGTTTTCAATAGGAGGCGGCTTGATGAGATTGGAAAAGGATGACCATTATACAACGATACTCAGCCACTTCGCTACCATACAGGCTTTCACGACCGAAATGGATGATGACGATATACACAAGATTCAGATCGGTCTCCGACGTGCGGTCGTGGTGGAACAGGGCTTGATGGATGGTTTATACGTCTGTTGGTTCCAGAAAAGCCCACAACTCTGGCATTGATTTGGAGCCCAAGAGGAATTGGTGATCGATTCAGGCAAAGATTTCAAAGAGGCAATGGGATAGTCACTTCGATGCCAGAGCGGGGGCAGGATTTGGGAGACAAGACTCGAAGAACAGCAATATGAACACCTGGGCGGGTTAATAGTTGCTTGGGCGGAACATGTCAGGAACAGAACCGGCAAACACTAGTCCGCTTGTCTCTTGGAGTTGGTTGGGTACTTCATTTCATGCAGGAAATTTGGTTGGGTTGCGGAAGGCTTTTTTTTTTCGAGAGAGCGTGCATAACAACCACCATTACAAGCACACATCGTCGAACTTCAACCTATCTTTCCTTTGTCTATCACATTCCGCGATACCCAGCACAGTGCAGCACTCACTACGATCTGTTTTCATATTTTCCCTATGTCGTTGTTTTTCAGAACACTTGCTGCTTCCCCTCACATAATTTGTGTGTATACCTTAGGTTTATTTTTGGTCTCAGACCGTTGTGTTTAATGTTTAACTGGGCTGGTCTTTTCGATTTGCCCTCCACTTAAGCGAGCTCAATGTACTCTACGGTGTGGTTGGAATGGGGAACTACCTGAGGCATGCTGTGTCTCACCGCAGATATTCCAAGTGTAACACAATGATGCATCACACAGCGGGCTGTTGAAAGTGAAGGTGAAAATGAGGAAGACGCCAAATAGACGCTATTCTCACGGTGCGTAACTGACCGTCCGCTGGGAAGATGGGATCCCAATCAACAATCGACATTGTGTGGTTGATTTCTTGGCTGCCGAACCTGTCACTTTGCCACCTTCCTATTCGGCGACGAGGCGTCTTAAAAGGCGTTGGATAAATGACTACATAGTAGACCGCTATCTTGAACCACAAGATTGTGTTCATCTTAGCCGGTTCCCATGTCAGCCTGTCAGGTCTCTGGGCAGTGATGTCCCCTACCCAGCAAAACAGGAACGCGACTGTGAAAAAATGGTCTGATATTTATTTCATTCTTGGAACTAAACACAGGCACCGTTACATCGCCCGTCGACGGGTGGCCCTAGTGTAGGTACGCTCGAGGTACGCTACCCTTTGAATGGCTGTCATGTGCCGTTGACGCCATTGTTGGGAGTCTAGGAGCACGGAGATTGACGATGCCCTCCCTGTCCCCAGAAGTTAAGCACCGTGCCCCATGTCCGATGTTCCAGCATCGACCGTTGACGATGATCGGTCATATCAATAACGGTCATACATGGTACCTAGTTACAGTGGGTACCATGAATGAACGCACAACTTGAAATTTTCCCGCCAAAAAGGCTAAAAAGGTCGCCTTCGTCACTCCTCAATTTGACCACATCACCATATCTGCAAACAAAAGTAGGTATTTTCTCAGGTTGATATTCTGTAAACCATTGTAAGCCCATGAGGGTTTCGTGCGATCTTGGTGATCTATGGTGGTGAAAGAGTGGTATTATTCAAGGGTATCTAGCTTGGCATGTTAGTTACAGCGGGCTTGTAGAGACTCATAATGGTTAGGACACTGGCTTCTCCTTTCAATACTAACCTTGTTAGGTGCCTTGTGAGTTGCGCACTAGGTACTCAAGCAAAATGCCAAACAAACTCCTTATTTTGATAGCTCAGTAAAATGTTTGATACACTAAGATTTACAGATTGGTTGAACCTCGATCGTATTGTTGTTCAACGACCTAATAAGTTCGTACGAGTTCTACGAGGAAATGACCAGTGTTGCGTTTATTTGTGTTACCCACTATAAGGTACAACGTTAGCATCGATCCAGGACCTTGAAAGGGTCCGGCAGTCTGTCGGTTAGTCAGTCCCCTCGGCTCCATTGGTTGTGATTTCGCTCGGTTGTTCGGTTCGGTTCGGTAGGGTCGTCTAAAACGGTCGCAGATCCGCGTGCTGAAAGGGGTTTAAACCAACGTGCTGGGTTCCTGTTGCGTCAAGGCAGGAAGGATGTGAATTGATAGTATCCTTTCTCAGTGAATACGAAACCTCCGGTTGCTTGATCTCTGCATAATTCCAACGTTCTCTTACAAGTTGTGTTTCTCTATATTTCGTTCCATCTCATCTCGTCCGGTTCTCTCCAGCCGCCAGACGAAACTACACCAGCAACTAGAGTGGACAGGGGATCTTTTGTTAGTTTGCCGCGAAGCGAACAACAGTCGTTCAACGCCATTGTCGGTTTTGTAATTCGCCTCCACTAAATCTGGCCAAACAATGTCAATCCTGCGGTTCTTTAAGGAAGCCTGCGCTATGTATTCAGCCTCCTCAACCGCTCACCGATTGGCACGCTGGGGACGAGAGCCAAAAATAAAGCTTTCCTGATACACTCTCACCGAGTATTTGATATACGAGTGGAGATCCTTCATGTTCTGCGTTCGATATCAGACCAGAGGAGCGACTCACTGCCAAGACATTACCGCTTCCCCATACTGTTGCCATGTCGATGAAAGTCATGAAACCCTTGATCTAGAGGACGTTTCGGTACTTGTCTGTCAATCAAATCGCTCAATTCCCTCTTTGATTCTCTAATCCCCTCCTCCTCGTTGACTTGACTATGCTTCCTGAGACCAAATAACCTACCTTGCATGATCACTCACTTCGACCATTGTACTTCAGGCACAACATTGGGATTTTTATTGACACGGTGCCTTCTCTGCTATGCTCCGGCCCATCCTGCCCGCCGGCGCTTGAAACAGCCCTTTGTGAGTTATCGCTTTTCCCCTCCTCGCGTCTGTCTCCCTCCACTGTGCATTGTATCATTCGTTGAAAAAGGAACATACCTATTTGCCTACCGTGGGGGTTGTTGGGGCGTTCGGAATCACGGCGAACGAGGTTTCGGATCGAGACAAACGACCCGTCACAGCAGGCTACAAGACGCTGCACTAAACTAGCACTGTAAGTTTGCGGTGTAAGCGGGGGCTCTGGGGACTAGTGTAATGAACGACGATCGCCAAGTCGGCCCTTCGCTTTCCCCTGGCATTGCGCTTAGACGATCCAGACGAGTCTCTTGAGCCGAGCTGCAATGCATACCGAATGAGGCGATTTCTCAACGGTTATTCGGAAATTAACGTTAGCGTCATCTTGGAAAACAAAGTCCCTGCTCAGTATGGTAATAAGGTTACTACTGCTCCACTATTGATGTCGGTCTTTCACAGTTCATCCCTCTTATCACTCTGTTCGTATCCAGCAACCTTGTTCTGTCCATGATCCAGGACAGATGATCCGGTGTACCAGGAATAGCACCGTGCAAGAACATCAAAGGGAACATCATCGGTACTTCAGTAAGTTTATACGTACACATTACTGATCAATGAGATTCGAACATCCAACCCGCCCCATCAGGTAGGAACTAGTGTAGAGACCACCCACCTTTGGGAGTCAATGTTGGACAGAGAGGCAGGGGCGGAGACATCATGGAAAGGCCAACCAACAATACCTACCTACCTAGTCTTGACGATGACGAAAACTTCCGAGTACCGACTTGTATGCGCCAAGTGCAAAGAGCAATCTGATATGTTTTCGACTTCCCGTCTTTCATGCCTTACACAGACTAAGTTGCTGTTTCTCAAACCAACGGCGTTTTCTGAAACACGTCCAGTATCCAATAGCTTGGTTCCTTTCCTACTCTCGTTACCTAGGCAGCAGGGTTGTCGCTGGGATTGAAGCCCTTCGTCTCCAGTCTCGTCTTCATATTAACGCAGGGAAATCGTGCTCTTTTCTTCCATGATGACGTATCGTCCACCATCCATAGCTGATACTGCGAGACTAAGTTGATGAACTGGACAGTGAGGCTTCGCTCCCCTGTCGCTTTTTTTAGGCCAGTCTTCCTGCTATGGTAGCTCTCATCCAACAACAGACATCTCTTAAGGGTACTTACTCAATACTCTCCAGAGATGTCACTGAGCGACCGAAATGAACATAGGTAGGTAACTAGGTAGTTTGACCCTCGATGTGAATGAACAAGGGCCAGGATCTTGCGGGGAGATGGACGGTGAAACGGTCCATACATCGTACAATGCCCTGCCTTACTACCCTGTCGTGTAGTACTCGTTGATCTCACGTCACGCTACCTACCTACATAACGGAACCTATCTGCGTGCCTGCCTGCCCGTCTCGCCCATTTCGTCGCTCGTTAGCCGTTGTAGGAAGTGAAGCGAGCGAGAAAGCGAGGATTCTGCCCTTCTTTCGGCTTGTGCGCCCCGCAACGGGTAGTGATGTCGTGCTGTGATGTTGTAAAGAAGCAGTGTACCGTAGGATGCTCTCTCGGCAATCACATCTCGTTATGTCACGCAGCACTAAACATGATGCTACATGTAGTCTTGACCGTGAGGCGGGAAGAGGAATCAGCACAAGGTCATGTTTTTTTTTTTTTTTTTTTTTTTTTTTTTTGTCCAACTAACAC